GTGCCCAGAACTGGACACTGGTCCTGCTAGCTAAGGATCATGGGAGTTGTAGGCCAAAGACATCTGGAGGGCCGAGTTCGAGGAAGCCTGCATTATACAGTATACGTTCAACCAGCCTACATACATGTAAGAAATAAGATTCCATTGGCATGTAATTTACAATATGAGAAGCCTGAGCGGCAGGTCCCAGCATAATTATTGGAGTAACTACAGAGAAAGTAGGTCAGCTGGCTTTAAAAGTGCTTGCAGGAGTTGGGAGAGACCCTCATACAACTACAGCAACAGTCTATCTCGTGCGCTGCAAAGAAATTTAAGCAACGAAAGTGGGTGAAGTGACAGAATTCAGCCCTGGTGGGTCAAATCCAGCTGCACCCTAGAATTAAGTGTTTCGATCGTGGCTTTATGTACTACATCCCCCAGAATGTCTTTGGACACGCTTGATTCCATCACCATCTTTTCCAAATCTTTTGTGATTAAGAGCGAAACCGCTATTAGTAAGAACAGAAAGGACCTTCTTCTTAGCGAAGTATAAATATGCCATTTGATCTCCGCCTTGATGAAACTGGTAGGAACACTGAGCTCTTCTTCTGCTGCTGGTTTCTGTCACTGCTCTTCAGCCTTGACTCTCAAGGTGTTACTGGACTAAAACTTCTATCCTCCCCAGTCAGTTTAGCCAGTTATAGGGGTGATGGAAGATGTAGTCCAGAGTTTCCCAAACTTGGGTCTCCAGCAGTTTTTGGACTATGACTCCCATCATCCCTAGCTAGCAGGACCAGTGGTCGGGAATGATGGGACTTTTAGTCCAAAAACAGCTGGAGACCCAAGTTTGGGAAACCCTGATGTAGTCCAACTTCTGAGGACCCAAGGACTGATGAACAGAGTTCTATATGCTGCCTGCACCTTGGCTTTGCTGGAACAACAGACAAAATCCACTTCTAATTATCTTCACCCAGTCTAATTTTTCCTCAGCACTTAGAGCTCAGCTGAATTTATTAAAAGAGAAGCTAAGAAATGTTCAAGTCTTTAGGGCAAATATCTGGAACCTGGTACAGTATCCTCTAGATACAGCTCCAATCAAACCTAGTCAGCCCGGCCAACGGTCAAGGATGATGGGCAGTGTAGTCCATCCAGCAACATCTGGGGGGGCCACAGGTTCCCACTCCCCTGCTGAAAATCACAATCCAAAACTACCTGGTTGTATGCATATGTCAATAATACATTGGTTGTCACTTATTGGGCCTGAAGCAAGAAAAAGGTGAAGTCCAGAAAACTTTATTCGCTCACCCCATACCACTGAATATAGGCTCATTCCAAACAATAAAAACCTTGAAGGAATATTTCTTGTTCCTTCCTGCACCACCCCGCTGTGGCTATCAACTACTTTTTAATTTTTTTTAAGCGGAGTCTTGGTCTATCTCAAACCTCACGTTAAGGGTGGCCAAATTCTGTGCGATTGCCATAAAACTTAGGGAACAAGCTGTGCTATCATAACGATTAAGGATTTAAATGATAATTTTAGGTTATATGTTAGTGACTTATATATATTTTTAACTGTTGCTATATCTGTATTGTCCCTGTCATACCTAATTGCAAATTCAAATATATCCCTATCGTGTTTTATGACTTCCTTGATATCGTATGTGGGCTGGAACTGGTCTGTGACCGAAATAATAAAATTCAATCCTATCTCGAACCTGCTAATTATAATTTCACTGCACTTCTCAACGTACATTTCTGGCTCTTGGTTGTCACCTCCACACCCATGATGGCAGACCTAAATAGAAACAAGTAGCTCCACAGATGTGTCCCCTGCAAAATGTTTCTGAAGTCTAATAGCACATGCACTTGCTGCAGAGACAGTTCAGTGCATTACACACTCCGACAAGGTCCTTTTGAATGCAGGAAATTCTCCATTGATGCTGCCACATTGATGCCATTGGTCTGTTGCAGTTCTGTTTAGCTTCCATGTGTGTCTTGGTAAGTTTTGTAGGGGACTTCATAAAAGGGGGTCCGTGATGAGGCAGGATATTCACTAAAACATTTATACAAATAAAGGAGTCTCTTGCAGGACGTACCGTTTGATTCAGGGGACAGCTTTGAGATACCTTTGTGTAGTTTCATTTTCCTATAATAGGTTTTAGAGCACCACCTTCTGGAGAAGGTCAGTGGTTGCATGCTGCAACCACCTGTTTACAGAGCTACCAACTGACAAAACAAGAAGTACTGAAATGCAGAATCTCAGTTCAATTTTCTCTTTTAAAAATCCAAAACAGGTTGGACTCAACCAAGAGAAAGCAACATCAAAAGCCAGCCACTAAGCTGATGCAATCAGCATCCAGAAACTGCATTTTTTAAAACAGATTTACAATGTAAACCTATGTATCTCTGCCCAGTAGTTAAGTTCACTGACTCCAGTTAAACTCACTTCCAGGTAAGTACTACAGAACTGCAGCCTTAGTCTGCACTGGACTGGGTTGCTTCTAGTTTAAGATAATGTATGGCTTGTACAAAAGAAAACCAAGCCAAGATGAAAAGATAACCCAAAAGGGGAAAGGATCAGGCAGAGAAATAATAGCTCAGGTGAGGCCCTGACAACACACACAGCAAGTCCTGTTTTGGAGGCCTAGGATAGCAATTGAGTCCCTTTAGACCAAGGAAAGGAATAGCAGGAAGACAAGGGGAGCCACTGAGCCACCCTGACCCCTAGGGCAGAGAACATCACGGGCCAAGCCTTCTCCAAGAAGTTGCAGGATGTGACCTGGTACTTTAGCATGAACAAACAGTTTGCATTAGAGATCATCCTGTTTTACCTTCTCCCTTGGGGCTTGCAAGTATTTACCCCAGGCATCTACGTTTGAATGCCGTGAGTCCAGTCAAACAGAAATGAGCAAGGGCTGCAGGTCAGTTGGAAGAGACATGTAGACAAGAGAGACTTGCAAAGCAGTGGCAAAGGTAATGAGATACAGCAATAGCAGGATGTGGTGAAGATATTGGGCTTAATGTTAAAGCACATGCTAGCGCTAGCACTTTCTCTCCTTTGCTGGTAAGCCAACAGGCTGCTAAAAAGCTCTGTCACGGGGAGAAAAATTAGCTGCCCATTTTATCAGCATGAGGCAGTGATTCGGGGACTTGCTTGCACTTTTCCCTCAGCTGCTTGGAGCTCAACCCACAAGCCCTAAGGAGGAGGAGAGAATCATGGGATAACTGCTTCTCTACAATACCATTATGAAAGAAGTAGTGGATTTGCTGTACTCCTCCCCTGCAAGCAAGGACATAAGGTAGCAAAATATCACTACTTAATCATTATTTAATGGAAGAGTGGGGTGTAACTCTCGCTCTCAGGTGTTACTCTTTTCAGCCTCCTTAATTAGGCCTACAGAACTGTACTGAAGTTATTATTATTGTTTATTAAATTTAGATACCGCCCTTCACAAACTTTCTAACAATTCCTGGATTTACACATAAGTCCTTAGACACATATTGCAATTCGTCCAATGGCAGTGTGTTAACTGTGTATATGCCTCCTAAATTTTAATAAACCGGATCTAGAGCTTATAAGTACAGCTATTTGCACAGCTTCATCTGTCAGTTAATGTCATTAGTTTCCACCATAAGACAAATCCAGGGATAACATTAATCCTCTCCTTTAAATGATGGGGGGGGGGGAGCGAAGCAAGAAATTCTGAAAATGTGTAGCTGCATTGTGAAAGGAAAAGATAATAATGACTCTCCAAGGCCAAGACTCTCCAAGGCATTTATATTTATAGAAAGGGGAATACACATGGTATTAAATATATGTATGTACATACAAATCTGAACTTTTTTTAAAAAAAGTAACCTTCAATAAAACAAGTTTGGACAGTTAAGAGCCAACTGTCCATGCTAAATTTTGGGGGTTTAATCCACCAGTTTCTTAACTGATTTGATCACAGTCCTTGGACAGCAGAGGCAAACAGCATGTATTTCCCAGGATCAGGGAAGAGCAAACCAAGCACTTTAGAAAGACAGGAACCTGGTCCTCTCCAAGAGTCACTTTGCATCCAAAGCCAGATGTGACCGTTTGCTTTATGGGGTGGTGCAGAACACCTCCTTTCAGTAGTCTTGCAACAGAACTGCGGAACATTTTTTTGACTCAACATCGAAGCAGAAAGACCATTTGGTATAATCCTGAGTATCTGCATCATATTTGGGCAGCTCCTGGAACAACTAAAGTATATCTTCATCTCCTCCTAACTTTGGGGCCTAGATAAATCTTTTGCCTGGTAAGCACTGAATTAATATTTTCTAGCAAGGATATTTACCAGAGGAGGGGGGCGATTCCCTTGACGCTCTTCTTGTATAGTTTGTAGGACACCCAGCATGGGGGTAAGAATTTAATTCCCAATCTTGCACAGCAATAAGATATATGCTTCTTTTCTACATGTTGCCTTAATATTACCATCAGCCAAGCCAAGTCTTTCCTGGGCAACTAGGCACCCTCTAAGGCTCACCTTTTCTCCAAGTCTCAGGTGACTTAGGAGGGGTCTGATAGTGTGACAATTGGAATAAAGCAGAAGTTACAGTCCAAGCGTCCTTGTGGACCAAAAGTGAAGAATCAGCTAATGTTATTGGTGGTAGTCATACTCCTGCTGAAGGGGGAAACGCTGAACAATTACAGAAGCATCTCATTGAGAAAGTCACCTTAAAGGAGATCCCATGGCTCTAGGCAGGCTGCTCCATCCCCACACCTGTCCATGCCACATCTGCATGTTGACACTTCCAGGAAGCCGTCTGTCGGAGCTCTTTGGTATCACGGGATCAGTGTCGACAATTGCAGTGGAAAGACGAGCGTCTTTTTCCAGCTGGAAGTTACCGGGTTATGGATTAGTCCAGAGGAGCCTGAATCATCTGGATTTTTGACACTGACCAGAACACACTTTTTTCCCTTTTGAAACAGCCCTTTTGCTACCTGATGTAGAAAGCCTGGCATCCAAGCAGGCCTGGGAGATTTCTCTCCCAACTCTCGTGGAGTCCTCAGCGCTGAAAAGGGCGCCGCACTTTCTTCCGCCGTTTCTGCTTCGAATCTCCTTTCTGGGAGGTACTGTCCACCTTTGATGGAGGGGCAGGAGGGGTTGGCACGCTCCCCGGGGACGGTGGTTGGGGCGTGCTGAAAAATTCCCGTTCGGCATTTGTCCGTGGTTCCCTTGGAAGATGCGGTTGAAGAAATCCTGCAGTTCTGCAGCTGAAGCAGGGCTGCCGTCTGAAGCAGCTCTTTCGAAGGGGATGGGGAGAGCAGAGGAAAGGGAAGAGCAAATGATACCATCAGATCCAGCACTGACTGCCACAGACCAAGATGCTCGGCTTAACAGTAAAAGCAGGAGGTGGAAGGTACACTTCGGAGCTCTCATCTATGTCAGAACCCTCTTCACCACATGCAAAAGGTGCCCAATTTCTATATGGATTCAATGGGACCAGTTTCAGCACAGGTTGTGAGGACTCTAGGGTCAAGAATGTGGTCTCTGGGTATTAAATACTCTACATTCAAGTTGCTGTACTAAAGTGTATCAGCCTATTGAAAAAGGCCAGAACTAGCACTCTTCATGCACAGGAGTTGGAGACAAGTTATCTGGAACACTTTATAACTGTGACTAACCCATAAAGGTAAAGGGACCCCTGACCATTAGGTCCAGTCGTGGCCGACTCTGGGGTTGCGGCGCTCATCTCGCTTTATTGGCCAAGGGAGCCGGCATACAGCTTCCGGGTCATGTAGCCAGCATGACTAAGCCGCTTCTGGCGAACCAGAGCAGTGCATGGAAATGCCGTTTACCTTCCCGCTGGAGTGGTACCTATTTATCTACTTGCACTATGACGTGCTTTCGAACTGCTAGGTTGGCAGGAGCAGAGACCGAGCAACGGGAGCTCACCCCGTCGCAGGGATTCGAACCGCCGACCTTCTGATTGGCAAGTCCTAGGCTCTGTGGTTTAACCCACAGCGCCACCCGCGTCCCGCGTGACTAACCCATAGAAACTGGCAACTGCAATGAAAAATGTGTTCCAAATTTCCAATGAATTTGGGGGGGGGGCAGGGAAGTAGTCCTAGACTCACGAGCTGCAGACAGAAAGAAAACTGAACACTTGTTAGCTAAATACTTAGAACTAAGATGAGTTGTTCCCTGCCTGTGCATACAGGCTGTTTTAACACAACCATCACTGGCAAGCCATGTTGTATAAGGACATCAGAACCCAGATCATCTCCATGCAGAAGAGCTCTGATTGTGCCCAGCACTCCCCCGCGTATTTATATAGGAGCTGGACCACTTGTGGCCTCTTGTATGTATGGAGCAGATCCACTCCCCACATTGTACTGAATGGGAATCCTCACTCACAGAATATAGTACACAGGTCTCTGGATGGGATTCACAGAGCCTGGTATCACTTTAAAAGTTAAGGAAGGACTCATCCGTGTGCAGACTAGGGGACAGAACATTTTTTAAGGGGAACGAATAAACAACATCATTCATCACTGACCTCTGCCGTCCACCTGAGCCCCTTGATCCAAAAGATATGTGATATGGAACACGGTGTGTGTCTGGGGAGATTCCTACTCGCTGACAGCCAGCCCATTCTGCACATTAAAAAGGAAAGAAGTAAACTATGAAATGGTGAGAGGTATTTGCCTCTCAGAGAAAGCAGGAATGCCATTAGAATCCGAGCTCCTGCCTTTAAACAGTAACCGCAATCCCAGCGGCAGCATGATTTATCATTCACAGGGCACCCCATCCAACTATTTAAAAATCCTTCTCAAGGGGTCCTTCTTTGGGGGTCAAAGTTGTCACTGTGTTTTGAATGAGAGGTGTGTTTGCTTGCAGTAAGCATGCTCGCTGCACAAAACGCAGAGCTGCCCAGATTTAACTTAAGGTTCAAAATCTACCATGCTGAACAGAATAGAAGGTGCCTATAAAGACCTTATCATCTATTCCATGAATGGCAAGTATCCAATGGGAGGAAAGGGGAATATAGTTTTAAAAGCCCATTTAACCACCTTCCTTCCACTTCCATTCCCACTTGTCCAGAAGTGTGGAGCCGTTACCTGTGATGTCGTAAACCTTTCCATCCATCATGGCAAAATAGGTGATCTTCAGCCCCAGCATACTGGATTCGGCCCAGAAGTCTCCCTCCTCGGCCGCATGAAGCTTGCTACATTCTGCACAGTAGCGAGCATTCAGTGGGTCACGATCCATCTCAAACCGCCTGCAGCAACAAAGGGTTTATCAGAGACCAGAGAGTACGGGTGTGTGTGTGCGCCTGATTTTCTAGAGTTTGGAACCTTTAAAACTCTCCTCCCCATCCAATGTTTCTTCATTTCAGAGGGGGCTGAGATTCTGCATCCAAAAATGGTTAGAAGAATCAGTAGCCCTAAGAAGAGGGAATGGTAGCTAAGCCATGAATGAGAGCATCACCTCTCCAAGCTGTTGGAAACCTTCCCAGCTGTTTTTCTTATGCTTTTACTTCTCCAGCTACTGCCCACATCCCCAAGCTTTTCCATGGATGCTTAGAACCATTTTTCTTCTCAAATAAAAATAGTATACAGTCCCTCTGCCACATGGCTTTGCTGCAGCAATGCCCAGCAAGAATTGAGATACTGCACGCTCTGGAAAGCAGACATGCTCTCGCTATTATTGCACCCAGCCTGAAATAATAGTGGGACCATTAAGGAGATAACGGCAGCTGACCACTTACCTGTGCTTCCCCTGACACTTGTTACACATCATTGTATTCATGGCTTCTTTTAGGTCATCCTGAAGCTTAGAAAGGAACTCGTTCATGGATTTGGTCAGCTCTGTCTCTGCCATGCGCTTGCTTGAAAAGAGCAACAAGGGAAGTCAGAAGCCAATGGCGGTAGCATCAGTACAAGAAAGAAACCTGGACAATGACAGACTAAGGCTGTGATACTAAGCGCTTAAAGCAACAGAACTTTCTTCTAGGTGACAACAACTAGGACCAGGCAGTAAGAAATACAGTGGTACCTCGGGTGACATATGCTTCAAGTTACATACACTTCAGGTTACAGACTCTGCTAACCCAGAAATAGTACCTCGGGTTAAGAACTTTGCTTCAGGATGAGAACAGAAATCAGGCTCCGGCGGCATGGCGGCAGCAGGAGGCCCCATTAGCTAAAGTGGCGCTTCAGGTTAAGAACAGTTTCAGGCTAAAAACAGGCCTCCAAAACGAATTAAGTTCTTATCCCGAGGTACCACAGTATATTGAGAAGCAGAGTGGCTAATAAGCCTGATCTTTATTCAAGGAACTGAGTACAGAAAGAGGACAAGAGAACGGGTTGCGGCTCATCTTTGCAACAGGGACTCCTTTGCCAAACGGCATTTAGGAATCTTCCGGTTATAGGTTTTTGCTTGGAAGGCTGTTATTACTCAGCGATATGGGGAAATGCACTCTGTACATGCTCCATGACTTGCCTGTCCCAATTATTTATTTCATTCCCCCCGCCACCCGGCCTGACTTCCGGTACAGTGGTACCACTGTAAGTGCTATATGCTGAAGCAGTATTAGCTCCCCTCTCCCAGCCACTTGTCTAACTTATATGCCACTCTGTCTCTGCATTTGCACTGGTGACTTCAAAGCTAGGTACTCTGCTTCTCATATTGGGAAATCTTCCAGTGTTTTAAACAAGCAGGAACACTTTCATAACATGTCAAAGCATTGTGGGATATACAGGGAACTTGAAAGGAATTCACTATAGTGTGCTCAGTAAACAAAATGTTCCCCGATGTATTCCCAGATACTCCCTGGCAGTGTAGCATGGGCTTCAGTTAGATCACACAGCAAACACATGATTGTTATTTCAGCCTTGCATTTGATGCAACTCCGCCTAACTCCAAATATGTGTGTATCCTTCGCTGTATCCAGTTTCTCATGAGGTGACAGGAATGGCTAGGAGTTTAATTTAAATCGTGCTGCTATTCCTGAGAGTGTGTCTGCATCCTCCAACAGAACATATTAGACTCTGGAGGACTCTGTGCCAGACCAAGGTGCAAGGACAATTGCACAAGAATTGACAATAACGTAAGTCAGGCTTTATCAACCTCGGCCCTCTGGATGTTTTTGGCCTACAACTCCCATGATCCCTAGCTAGCAGGACCAGTGATCAGGGATGATGGGAATTGTAGTCTCAAAACATTTGGAGGGCCGAGGTTGAGGAAGCCTGATATAAATAGACCTGAGACTCGACCTTGCTAGGTAGCAGGTAACTTCAGATCTTAACAGTTAAAAAAAACCCTTACCGATTAATCTACTCACATTTGAATGATTAGCCTGCTAAACAATTGATTACGTCTACATACAGGGAAAACAGTTGTAATAAAAGCACACTTTTTTTTGTTTTGATGATGCACCTGTATATCACAGCATGCAACATTTTAGAGGCAGAATCCCCTTTCTGCCTCATATAGTGCAGAGGTGGAAAATGCCTCTTCTAAGACAGTGCCCACCATCCTCATTTTTTACGAAGCCTTATTGTTGCTGCTGTTGTTACTTTTAAAAGATCTATTGCCCAATTAACTGGAAGTAACTTTTTCTTTTGCTGATTCCACCTTCCATTTGGGTCAACTAAACGAAATCTAGACCTTCCACACCCTTCCCACTGGAGCTATGTTGCAAATCTAAATCTAAGCCTACTTACTCAGAAGCCAGTCTCACAAAACAGTGGCTCTTTCAAGCCAGCATGTTGAAGCCTGGTTTTTAGAGCGCCAAACTTTTCTACAAGAGCTGGGAGTCAAAGCAGTGCAGCAGCTGCTTGGCCTCAGTCAGTACCTCAATCTCCTCTGGGTCTTCTCCTCAGAAGGCCTTTAGGCCAAGAGCACACACTGCATCCTTATCTCCAGCACTCTTATCTAGTTATAGATAACGCCCTTGCACAATTGCCAGGGGGAGAGGAGTTCAATTTCTTCTTTCTACTAATTTGGATACATTAATTTACTACAATTCACAGAGGATGGGGGGAGTCTAGTGATAATACACTTCTTTCAATTAGATATAGATATATAGATATAGTTATAGGGACGCGGGTGGTGCTGTGGGTTAAACCACAGAGCCTAGGACTTGCCAATCAGAAGGTCGGCGGTTCGAATCCCCGTGACGGGGTGAGCTCCCGTTGGTCAGTCCCTGCTCCTGCCAACCTAGCAGTTCGAAAGCACGTCAAAGTGCAAGTAGATAAATAGGTACCGCTCCAGCGGGAAGGTAAACGGTGTTTCCATGCGCTGCTCTGGTTTGCCAGAAGCAGCTTAGTCATGCTGGCAACATGACCCGGAAGCTGTATGCCGGCTCCCTCGGCCAATAAAGCGAGATGAGCGCTGCAACCCCAGAGTCAGTCATAACTGGACCTAATGGTCAGGGGTCCCTTTATCTTCAATTAGATAAAGGATAAGGTGCCACCACAGTATTGGCCTTTAAAGGAGAGCAGAAGCAGAGATCAACACAAGCAGCAGTTAGAGGTACAAGCTAATTATCAAAACCATTTATCCTGAGCATCTGTATCCAGCTGTGAATACTTGTGCTCCTGTGCATATTAATAGTGTGTTAGAGATGCACTTCCCCTAAACAACCCCATGATGGGCACTCAGGAGGGCCTGGTTGGCTATTTGTAGGAGAGTTAATAATTTAAGGGAATCATACCCCACCTTTCCATTTTCTTTACAGGGCAGCATTTTGCATACATCTGGAACATTTAAATAACTCTTGGTCACAAGATGAGGCCAATGATCAGGGCCTCATTTGCAATGCATCTTCCTGCCCATTAAATATGGCCTTACTTTGAGAGCAGCACACTCCCAGTCCACAGGTAATGTGGACTCGATTCCAAAACATTGTGGCCAAATGGATTTCAGTCCACTCACATTTCATATTCCTTCCTCCTCTCTGGATTGCTGACAATATCCCAGGCTGCCCGCAGTACCTTGAAGGCCTCTTCTGCTCGCGGATGCTTATTCTTGTCTGGGTGAACCTGTGCAACACCCCACCCCATCCCAAAAACAAACAGAAAGTCAGAAAATGCCTATATTGTGGCATCAATAGCATTTAGTTTTTTCAGCCCATGGGAAAAGCACATCATATACAAGAACGCAGCAATCCTTTTTATTTATATATATATTTTTAATTTCTATTTTCCCAGAGTTTCAGTACATACATGCATATCCTACATATTTTTATCCATCTATTCCCTTTAGACTTCCCACCCCACCGTGGCTTCCTGTTTTTCCCTTTTATGCTGCATATCCTTAGCCAGGAAATTACCACCCATTATTGTTCTGTTTGTTAACCTAGTTTGTAATTACTGCTCCATAATAATAAATAATAAATAATAATAATAGTAATTTATTACTTATACCCCGCCTATCTGGCTGGGTTTCCCCAGCCACTCTGGGCAGCTTCCAAAAGGATATTAAAGGTAAAGGTAAAGGTACCCCTGCCCGTACGGGCCAGTCTTGACAGACTCTAGGGTTGTGCGCCCATCTCACTCAAGAGGCCGGGGGCCAGCGCTGTCCGAAGACACTTCCGGGTCACGTGGCCAGCGTGACATCGCTGCTCTGGCGAGCCAGAGCCGCACACGGAAACGCCGTTTACCTTCCCGCTAGTAAGCGGTCCCTATTTATCTACTTGCACCCGGGAGTGCTTTCGAACTGCTAGGTTGGCAGGCGCTGGGGACCGAACAACGGGAGCGCACCCCGCCGCGGGGATTCGAACCGCCGACCTTTCGATCAGCAAGCCCTAGGCGCTGAGGCTTTAACCCACAGCGCCACCCGCGTCCCTAAAAGGATATTAAGAACACAATAAAACATCAAACATTAAAAACTTCCCTAAACAAGACTGCCTTCGGATGTCTTCTGAAAGTCAGACAGTTGTTTATTTCCTTGACATCTGCTTATATGTCAATTCCTACATGCAGATTTATTTGGTTGCTGTACCTCTTTAGATAATCTATACATAATTCCCATTCCTCCCTCAGCTGTGTTTCTTCCTGACCTCTAATTTTTGTTGTCATGCTGGCCAATTCTATATACTCTGCCAATTTCTTTATTCATTAACTCAATAATTCTAATAGGGACCTTGTAATGTAAACCGGCATTATCATCCACATATCCCATACAGATCAACAGAATAAGAGTGGCAGAAACTTGAACCAGGACTTCCAATTAATACAGGCATGTTTCCTTAATACTGGCATGTTTTCTGTTCAAAAGCTCAGACTGGAGAGACGTGCTTCCTCCAATGTAGCCATACCCAATCATAACAAGGAAGGAACGAGATACAACTGCTTTTGATTAAAACCAATCCTTGTCACAAATGAGGCCAGCCCCGGTGGCCAGTGAGACAGATTAGCAGTTCCCAGTGAAGACAGGGCCTGAAGTCTGAGTCCACTCCATGTCTGCCCATGGCCCCACATCAACATTGCACTACTGCAATTCAGTTGCCCTTTTAACTCATTTTGGGATGGGCGAAAGGGAGCAGATTTGCATCCTTAAAGCTTCAGGCTGGTAATTTTCCAGCCCTAGGAACTAGGCGGAAAGTTTACCACCTGAAGGCATTAAGTCAAGACAGGTTTAACCTGGCTTCCCAGCACACTGCTGCTTGATACCTGAAGCAGAAAAACTAGCAGAGTGATTACTCATCACAATGACCTGGACAAGCAAGCTGCTGACAGTGATCATGCCAGCCTGATAAAAGAAAGGATTAGCAAAACTTTGTCCCTCCAAGTAGCACAGTAATCTTGGAGGCCCTAGAGTGTGCAGCAGGGCATGGTAGATGAGGCAAGAGGAAGCAAAAGGACTGCTAAACCTACAAGCGAGAGACACTGTTGAACAAAACTGGCTGGATAATATCCTCTGAAGCTCCCCCTCCACACAAACCCACATTAAACTGCTAACTGTGCAAACCAGATGCAGAGGGGGCCTCTGCCTGCACCGCAGCACCTTGAAGAAAACCAGCAGTAGCTTTGCAAATCCACGTAGTGAACACAGCGGTATTCGTGAATTGCAAGCACATGCCAGCCCAAGGCAGCAGAGAAATATGATGGCACCTTTCTCAAGACACCCAATCGTCTTCCTCCAGCTCAAAAGGAATGTGCTCACCAGTACTGCCAAGTGCCGATAGGCTCTCTTTAGCTCAGCATCCGATGCAGTTGCCTCCAAGCGCAAGACCTGGAAAGGGTTGAGCTCTTCTTCGGGGGTATGTGCCATAGCCAGCAAGCGTGCCACCTCTTCCCCAGGCTGGTATGGCTCAGATCCTCCAGGAGACCCATTGTAAGCAGTGTCCCCTGGCTGGCTGGTCCTTAATCCTTTGGGGATCCAAAGGAGGGTTTGCCACTTAAGCAGCAGGCCGGCTGCCCACTTGCAAGTCCTGCTTTCTTTAAAGAGGGCCCAAACTTGGGGCAGGTCAACGGCTGAGACAATCCAGGCTCCATGACTGGTGTGGGCCAATCTACCCAAGACACTGAAGAGGGCTGATTTAGAGACCCGCCAGCAGAGTCTCAGGCTACCCAGTAGAAGCATGAGCACCAGAAAGAGTATAGCACATAGCATCTTAAGCAGGCGGTAAGCCACACTAAGCCACGAGCCCAGCCACCACGTCACTTTCCTGCAGCCCAGCCTTGCATGCTGGATCCAAGTCCGCATGCTGGTTCGGATGGTATCCAGATCATGAGCGCTTAAGGAGCAGCACGAGTACAGGAGCTTCCCACCAGCTTCCACACCCTCGCCACACCTGTGGGTGACCTGCACAATCAGGCTGATAAAGAGTTTGAAGCAGGAGACGCAGAAGGAAGCTAAGCCCTCCAGATGCTTGAGCAGCTGGACTTGGACGTCATGGTGCCGCCCACCGTCACTCCTCTTCCTGGCCTGCCTGTGCTTTCCCCCAGATAGTGCAAAACGCCCTTCGCCCTTGGCTGCAGAATGGTGCTTTTGCTGCCGGGCAAACTTCCTTCCACCGGGAGCCCGAGTACAGTCTGGGACCTCCTCCTTGGCCTTGGATGCCGCATCATCTTCAACGTCTTCCTCCTGACCTTGTGGTAACTTGGACGGGCCTTTCTCCTTGGAGGCCGAAAGCCAGTGCTGGCAAGTGAAACCACACAAGCCATTCCCCTTCTCTGAATAAGTTTCGGAGAGATCGGGGCTATCTCCTTGACAATTACAAGAGCCAGCTTCATTGTAGCCAGGAAAGTGCAAGTCGCCGTTATCTTGATCGCTCCTTTTCTTCCAAGTCGTTTCGGTTCCTCTAGCACCCTCCTCCTCCTCGCCCCAAATTCCAGCTTCTCCAGCAGACTCTGGAGCTTCCAAAACCAGCCCCTCTTTGCCGGGGCAACCTTTGCAACTGCAGCCCTCTTGGGAGACCTGGCCGGCGGCTAGCAGGTCGCTTCCTGCATCAGCACCGCCTGAGACGGAGCTGCTCTCCTTCGCCATACAAGGGCTGCCAGTACCCGGAACAGTCCTGCCCAAATCAGGGCAAGCTGGCTTGCGTTCAGACAGATCTCCAGTCTCACACCCAGCGTCCTCCATGGCGTTGGGCTTCCAGGGTTACTCTGGCCTCGACGAGTGGTTAAGTTACAGCCATCGTCGATCCCTGCGCCTGCAAAAAAGAGTAAGAATAGTAACAGGAGAGATTCAAAATCCAGGCGAGACTTCTCAAAACCGCAGCACCAACCCGCTCCCCCAACGCCCCCCACCCCACCCCCCAATAATGGTTAACAGGAAGCTAGGTCCCTACCACCCACTTCTAGGACTAGGGTGGAGGCAGAGAAAAGTGGGGGCCGCTCCATGCTTGGGGGGCGCGGGAAAGGACTCAAAACGTGCCCCCCCAAACGAAGGGGGACAGGAGACACGAAAGAAAGCGGGGAGGACGGAATGGGGGGGGGAGCTTACCTGGTCCTGTTACCCTGGCAACGAGAGGGGGCGCTACTTCCCCCTCCTCCTGCCCCCTCACTCCCTCTCTCCGCGAGCCTCCACTTCCGCCCGCCTATGTGTGACATCTCGTTCCCCGCCTTCTGCGTCCGGGTCAAGTGCGTGGGTGGGTAAGGGGGCGGGGCGCGTGGTAGCGTCATCGCCCGTCCCGGCCGCGGCGTTCGCTTTCTTAAAGGGCCCGAGCGCAAAATTCCGCTCAGCGCCGTCTTGCGGCAGCGCCTCTCTCCGACTCTTCCCGGTCAGAGTGAGGCGAGTTCGCCTGGCGCGGTTGCCTCGGACCGTGCAGGGGGCGGGAGGTGCTTGGGCCGCCGGTCGGCTGGCTGGCTTCTCTAATGGCAAAGGTGATTCAGCCTTATCCCGGGCGCGCAAACTTCGTGCTCGTCGGATCGGCTCTGTTTTATTTTCTAGGAGCCACCAGATCCCTGCCAGCCACGCCCAGATCTATAAGAGATCCAGTTAAGAGTGAAAGAACAACTGTGCCTCTGAGCACATTAGGAGTCTAGGAATTCGTTTCACGCGCAAAAGTCCGCGCCTGGATAGGTTTCTTCGCTCTACATGGCAAATTTAGTGGGGGGGGGATATTCTTCTTGTTGCTGTTTAGCAGCTGGGTGTCAGAAACCATTCCCAATCTTTTAATAAGTCACCCCAGGCTTCAACCAGTCGATCTAGCTTCTGCTTACCCCTGATTTTTTAAAATCTTGTTTGCATTGGTTTGCCTCGAGAGACATGCCAGGGCGGTGTGTATAGAGGTTCTGGGCTAGCCAGACTTTTAAAATATTTATATTTTACTAAGGTGATGTGATTTCAGTTAAAAGAAATAAAGTGATACAGGGGGAAGAAAAGAAGGAAGTGACCGGGGGAAAAACAACAACAGCAAAGATACGTATAAAATGTATATGCCAAAAAAAGCAATATACAGTATTCCCATTCATTCTTGAATAAATTGGTATAGTGTTATTGTCCTAGTGCTTGTGTAAATGTTAATAGCATACTACATTTTGTATACTCATTCCAAATGTTGGCATATTTTTCCTTACAGAATCAGTGACTGTAAGCAGTCCGTTCATAAATTGCCAGTGATGTCATATCATCAGTCCATTGATTGAAGGGTATCATATCTTTATTTTTCCAATTCCTCAATATCAATCTCTTGGCCACCATCAGAACACGGAAAATCCATTTCCGTTGTCCCGTTGATAATTTCCATACTGCAGGTTTATAGTTCAATAAAATATTCTCCGCTGAAATATTTAACTTTTTTCTGCACAGTCAGCAGAACAGTATATTTGGAACCACCTTGAATTTATCTGCCATCTCCAATACAGTACAGCAAGAAATCAATAGTGCTGGCTTCTGAACAAGCATACATACACTGGATCTAGCTGCAAGTTTTATTTCAGTCTCGTCAGTGCTGAATGAGTTAAAAGTAGAAGTGACCAAGACTCAACTGTCAGAACCATGCACTTAATCCTAGGAGGACAGTAGTGAGGGCAAAACACTGCAAAGAGTAAAGGCATTTTTTAGACAGGGAAACCTCCAGATAATACTAAAGCAGAATAGGTCACTGGGTCAGCATTTAAAGTACTGCTAAATGAGCTGACCTTCCTTGCCAAATACAGTGGTTCCATGACAAATGGATCAATGTGGAAAGAGTTCCCTGAGGGTAGAAGTTTGAATGGCACTGTGATAAATCAAAGCGAAGCATTTTAAAAATTAAGACCTGAAAAGCCTGAGGTATTGGATCAAAACTTGAGTTACTAAATCAATGTTCCCTGCAAGACATAGCTCCATTGTTAGCAAGATAATTTCATTTTGTGGATTGAAACAAGTGGGCTTCAGTCTGCAAAAGCTTGTGCTGCAATAAATCTGTTTGTCTTTAGTGTGCTGCAAGACTCCTTTTCGATTTCATGATAAGAAAGGCATTCACTGATAGTGATCAGAAGTTTAAAATGGAGCAGACAAAGTCCCTGAAGCAAAGCAATAGGAAGCATTGTAATGTTTTTTGCTTTTATAGCACACCATTTGAAATATGATTTGAGTGGCGCTGTGGTCTAAACCGCTGAGCCTAGTGAGCTCCCATTGCTCTGTCCCAGCTCCTGCCAACCTAGCAGTTCGAAAGCACGTCAAAGTGCAAGTAGATAAATAGGTACCACTCCAGCGGGAAGGTAAACGGCGTTTCCGTGCACTGCTCTGGTTTTGTCAGAAGTGGCTTAGTTATGCTGGCCACATGACCCGGAAAGCTGTCTGCGGACAAACGCCGGCTCCCTTGGCCAGTAAAGTGAGATGAGCGCCGCAACCCCAGAGTCATTCGCGACTGGACTTAACTGTCAGGGGTCCTTTACCTTTACCTTTATACATCTATAGCTACCCCCGTTTTCATGATTTGGACTTTACAGTGGATGAAGAAATGGAGACTCCCAAGATTAAAATAAAGAACTAGGCAGGGCAATTCTATAGCCTTAATACTAGAGTGGTACTTTTGCTACCTGAAGATCAGCACAACTTACAGTAACCATGTCTATTCAAGAAGTCTACTTGAATTTAATAGGGCTAACTCTTAGGTAAACGGAGTTAGGATTGCAGTATGCTGTACTTGCCCAGCAGAAAAGTTGAGAAGGAAAACACCACTACAGAAAGCAGAGAATGGGAACATGCTTCCGCAGGCTTCCAAGACTCAAGGCCTGGGTTGCAAGAGTTCTCTCCTGACTATATACTGAGGTCATCTAACAAAGCCATGCAAAGATTGGTTATGGAACTCCCTTCCCCTGGATGTGTGCCCAGAACCTGAATATCAACTGGAAGCACTTGAGAATATTTTCATTTGGGCTGGCTTTTACCCAAGCCTGAGTCCTAAAAGACCATGCAGTCTTCCGAGGGAAATTGGTGCTTCAGGAAAAACATTATCTCATTCAAAGCTGCAAATGCACTGTAAAGGGTTTTCAAATCAAGTTCCAGTTTTCACCAGCAGAGGACAATTCATCCCCTTTCAACTCCCCTCTCTCACAAGTGGCAACAGCTGGTAGATCTGCATTGTTGCAAAGGAAATTGGCGTGGGCATGTCCTGGCTGGCATCGTGGCATCTGGGGAATGAGTTGGACCTTCGAAGCCCGGGGTATATCCTGTAACTCGAGGAAGCACAAACTCACCGAGAATGCAGATCCAGTGATTTGGGAGTCTGTGGGAGCAGCTTGGAAATTTGGCTGCCTTCGTAGAGCAAGGAACAATATTTTCCGCTCTTTTGGACACAAAGTCTTCCCTACTACATTTCTGCTTGGGGTTTCATTAGATTCAGCCAGGTGTGTTTCCTCAATCTCCCAGACAACCCGCTTCCTTCCACATGTTGGAGTTTCACAACAGAATCTAGGACATAGCTGGATTAATTATTAGTTGGAATAAGCTATAGAATCATAGAGTTGGAAGAGACCACAAGGGCCATCGAGTCCAACCCCCTGCCAAGCAGGAAACACCATCAGAGCACTCCTGACATATGGTTGTCAAGAATCTGCTTAAAGACCTCCAAAGAAGGAGACTCCACCACACTCCTTGGCAGCAAATTCCACTGTCAAACAGCTCTTACTGTCAGGAAGTTCTTCCTAATGTTTAGGTGGAATCTTCTTTCTTGTAGTTTGGATCCATTGCTCCGCGTCCGCTTCTCTGGAGCAGCAGAAAACAACCTTTCTCCCTCCTCTATGTGACATCCTTTTATATATTTGAACATGGCTATCATATCACCCCTTAACCTCCTCTTCTCCAGGCTAAACATGCCCAGCTCCCTTAGCCGTTCCTCATAAGGCATCGTTTCCAGGCCTTTGACCATTTTGGTTGCCCTCCTCCTCCTATAGAATTGGGTCCTTACTCTAACTAAAATATCTAAGGATACTTGGACATAGCAGGTGGGTAGCATAAGACTACACTTCCCAAGAAGAAGGTACCATACATGAAAAGTGTTTAACAGTATACTCAGCATAGTAAAAAAGGTAAAAGTAAAGGACCCCTGGACGGTTAAGTTCAGTCAAAGGCGACTATCGGGTTGCAGCGCTCATCTTGCTTTCAGGCCAAGGAAGCTGGCATTTGTCCACAGACAGCTTTCTGGGTCATGTGGACAGCATGACTAAACCGCTTCTGGTGCAGCGGAACACTGTGACGGAAAGCAGAGCGCACAGAAATGCTATTTACCTTCCCGCCACAGTGGTATCTATTTATCTACTTGCATTGGTGTGCTTTCAAACTGCTAGGTTGGCAGAAGCTGGGACACAGCAACGGGAGCTCATCCCGTCGCAGGGATTTGAACCACCAACCTTCTGATCGGCAAGCCCAAGAGGCTTAGTAGTTTAGACCACAGCGCCACCCGCTCCCCTTTGTCAGCATAGTAAACACATGCAATATACCGGTAGTCATACACATACCCATTCAGTTCAATGTGACTTCTAGTTAAGAGGGCATAAGATTGCAGCCTAAAACATTGCTAATCTTATGATTTAACAGAGTAATCCTAGCTATGTCTACTCAGAAGTAAATCTGATTGAATTTAATGAGGCCTTCTCTCAGGTAAGTAGGATTAGGTTTGCAGCCTTAGCCTGAAATCAGAATGGCAGAGACAGGGCTGATTGGAAAATTATTTTGGAGGAAGCGGACTTGCTTATGTAAACATAAGATGGATGAATTTCTGGCCAGTTACTGATTTGAGAATGGCAGTGAAATGTACCAAGAACTTGGGTTGCAGAAGGACATCACAGTTTCTTAACTATAAATGTGTCCTTTCCACATTGGAAGAGGAACACACCACAAGTCCAGATTCTGATGTAATGGCAAACCAGTCTTACTGTGCCCATGTGTATTTCTGCAAGGTGGCAGGAAAATCAGAGGAGGAGTGAAAAGGCAGTGAGTTTTGCTCTGAACACCCGCTTGCTCATTCACGCTAAACTGTGGTTTGGCTTAGCACTACATGGGAACTGGGCCACTGAGAAACTCAGCCTTTGGGGGGAAACTAGAGGATGGCAAATCATGATCAGATCTCTCTTTACATTTTTTGTAAAAAGATGCCACAATTTGGTCTGTTGACAGCAGTGCTGGGGCGATTCAAGCTCGCAG